TAGAGGTGACCTTAACAAAAAACAAAAAATAAAAAATAAAAAGCCTTTACAATCAATTTGTAAATTAAAAAATTAATTAAAATAATAATATAAAATTTATAAATTAAAAATAGCTATATTTTTTTAAAAAAATATCAAATATACTATAAAATAATAATTTTAAACAAAGAAAGATTTTAATATAGATTATATAATTAATTTATGATAATAATACTGTAAGCCACAAGTATGAAGAATTGAATCTAAATATCAAGTTATAATTTGTTATAAATAGAGCCTTGTTCGATAAAAATAATTCTGGGAGTTATATCAGATTTAGAATTATATGTTACACATATTACATAACGTTTAAAATTACGTAAGTACGTACGTACAAAATTGTTTTGGTAAGATAAACACAAATTTGGAAAGAATCTCTAAATAAATTCCTTTTAGATGTTAAATAGAAGTCACTGAAAATATAATTTTTGAGATGCATTTTTGCTAATAATTAAGTATAAGCAGATTTATAGTTGTTAGACAAAACCTGGATATTTCGCACTGACGAAGCGCGAGCCTAGTTTTGTCTACCATCACTTACGAAACTGACAAAAAATGACAAAACTGATCAAAAATAGTAAAACTGACGAAAGGTGACGAAACTACCGAACTGCAAAGAGTGAAGAAACTAATAAAAGACGAAGAAACGGATCACCAGTTCTTGAAATATACTTGTTAAATGTTGAAGCAACAAAAACAATCTATCATGTTAAGTATCCAATTTTATTATGATCACTACTTTTTGAATATCCATACCTCTTTATAATCACATCCATATAATCACGTCATATAAAACCTTTTTATAATCGCGCCTGTATTGAGCCCCAATTACTTTTTAATACATATAAAACCCTTATTATAAACGCACCTCTTTATAAGAATTTTTTTTTTAAAAAAAGTTATAATAGTCCCAACTGTGTGATTATAAAGAGAAATGACGGTATAATTATGTGAGTTAAAATCAAGTGATAGGGAGTTAACCATATATATCATTTTTCCCCATTCTGGAAATATGAGCATTTGCTAGACAAATACTATTCTCCAGCGTTTATAAACAAAACCTATGATGCATACAATAATGACAACAGAGCTAAGTGAGCTGCATAATACCGGGATTAATGGAGTACTAGAAGAATTAGATACAGGTGAAATGACATTTGTTGATTTTGGTATTGATATGGTAGTAGTTGGCACATCAGTCGCTGTTGTGGTAGTTGGTATTGATGAAACCCATGTATAGTTAGAAGTGTCCATCAAGTAAATTTTATTATTAGGATTAGTTGTTATATCAAATTTACCAACTGAAATGCTGGCACCTAAAAAATAATAATTTAATAAAGCTCCGACAAATATCATTTTCTCCCAGATTTATTAATAAATAATCACCAAATGCTATAATCATGTAACCCCCAACCATCTCAGCTGAATGAAAGGCAAGTGGTGGTGGTGCATTTTCACTAGAAGATTCTTTAACAGACCAATTGTAAGGTGAAACATTCGTATTCAATGTAGCCAATGATGGATATGGCGCAATAGTTAAATTGTTAGCACCACCTCCATAAATAATTATGAATCCATCTTTGCCTAATAATAAAAGCAATGGTTTGTAAGTATAGATAAAATTATAAACACATTAATTCTTATAACAATTGTTACGTACTTAGTACTGCAGAATGAGATTGTCGGTCACTAATATAATCACCAGACGCGATCTAATTATCCATGTAGATAAATAAATGCATATCTCTAAAATAAATAATTTTACTTATAATCAAATAATTTACCCACCATTGTACTCCAAGATCCATTATTAGTATTATAAATTGTAATCTATTGAAAAAAACAAAAATGAGAAACAATTAAATTAGGCATAAAAAATAATAATGTTTACATAATTCAGCATTAAACCTTAATTACGTTATTCATTTTAATTTCTTGTGCACCGTCATCATTTGTTCCTCCTATATATACAATAACCCCATTTGATAAAAGCGTGGCAGTATAATCTGATCTACTAACTGGAGCAGGAGGACCATTATACCAAGTTAAGCTCATAGAGTCCAATATATACGTGTCATTATGAGTTTTTTGAGTCACAAACGGTTCGTATCCACAAGAAATATATATTTTACCAGCTTTATCAACAACAGCCACCATCTCCTGCCTAGGTTGTGGTAGATTTCCGGATATGTTTGGATTGGTCCACATTTGAGTTATTGTATTAAAAGTATTGATCGTTAAATTAGTTGAATTAACATTGCCTTTAGAAAGATGTTCAAATAAGAAAATGGTAGAATTATTACTGCCACCGACGCAAGAAGGTGAGAATGCGCTAG